CTAATCCGGTGTGCCTTATGTATGAAACTAGATGCATAATATAAGTGCGCCTTATAATCAGGTGCAATTGCAGTAATTATTGTTTATCAGTGCAAATCACAAGCTGTATGAAAACAACACAGCCTTAGATACAACAAGTGCAGCCACAAAAATGCAAATGTCGACAAACACATACAAACACATATGCGAATGTGTCTGGCTCCCCCTGCTGTGATTATTTTCTAATACACTTATTTAGCGATCCAGGTATTTAAAAAAGAATATTTTTTGACTAAGAGGCTGAGGACGTCATTGGCCAAAAATCTAATTGCTAATAATTAGTGCTGTCCAACGATTAAAATATTTAATCGCGATTAATCGCATGAATTTCATAGTTAACTCGCGATTAATCGCAAATTAGTCACACATTTGCGTGCTGTGTGCAATTGCTTTTTTTATTGAAAACAATGTGTAGTGTTATATTACACACTAACATTTGATGCAAAATCATCAATAAATGGATGACAAAATAAATAATTGGTAACAAAAAGCCCCTTCAATGTGTGTGTGTGGGTGTGTGTGTGTATGTGTGGGTATAGACCATAGACTGTATAGAAACATCATGGTGTCATTATGATGATGATAAACAATCTGTAAATATTTTGTAAATTTGTTCATGTAAATACTCTATGCTGTTTCTCTGTTTACCTTCGGTATATCTATGACTGTATACTGTTTGCTTGTATTGCCTTTTTTATTAACCCCTCCCCCCATCTCCCACTTCATGTCCCCCCCCCCCCCCTCCCCTCCTATGTGCCCTTCTGGGTTTCTTCTTTGGCCCCCTGTATCTCCAACTACATATTGTTTGTAATCTCTGTCTACAATGTATCTGAACTAGTCCTTTTCTTTGTTTCTATGTGTTTGTCTGCAATAAAAAGTTAAAAAAAAAAAAAAAAAAAAAAAAAAAATCTTTTTTTTGTTTTTTTTTTTTATTGCGCGATAAAAAAAATGACGGCGTTAATATTGATTTGCGTTAACGCGTTAATAACGCGCTATTTTGGACAGCCCTACTAATAATACAAAAACTATGATAGCACAAATCCTTTAACAGCACTAACGAAGCAATATCGATTCAGACAATCTTGACTCATTTTGGAGGTCAATGAGGGGCTTTGTTACCCCACTTTGACCAATAAAAGATGTGTTAATATCTCAAAAACAAAAGCAGCGCAAACAAAACTTTTTGCTGTTTAATCAATGACAACCGGACCTCCTTCACGGAGAGCAGTGCATCTAAACATAAACATGGACATTGTACAGTACAAAAAAATATGAATATCAGGCAAATGGATGGATGTCCAAGAGCGTCGCAGGGTCCTCTGGAGGCAAGGCGATAAACCAGCGAGACGAATGACATCACACCTCCCATAAACTATAACGGGGCGGTAAACATGAATGAAAAGATTAGGGGGTAAGAAAATCACCAAAATGGCACTCTATACACATTGAATACAAACATTGGTCTTAGAAAATAGAAAAAAACATCTCAAATGTAGGTTTAAATGCATGGTTCTTTGCCAGTGTGAAATATCATCGGCTGCAACACATGGATAAGGGGTAAAAGAAGATTAGAGTCCTTTTAATCCGTGACTACAACCGTATCATACTGTATGCAATGTATGAATGGCAAACACAGAATTTACCAAACAACCGAAAAGGAGCAGATAAACTTAACAACGTTTCACATTTGCAACATAACAAAGTGTGGGTGTATTGTGAAAGTGAGAGAACCAGCTCTGGTAAAACTGTCCAATCAAGGCTATGAGGAGGTGGCTCGCCATATTTGCAGTCTGGCTCCGGAACCACACTTCCTGCCTCTAAATCTGGCTCAAGAAATACATAGTGGCACCGTGTGGCGATTTTCCAGGAGTCTTTAGAGCCGGGTTTAACACACGGCTCAACTCATCCACGTGCATTCATCGTTTTACGAACATTTATATCATTCATGGACAGTCCCACTTCTTCCTAATATATACCCACATGCTCAGACCTCTCTCAGTATCTTGGATAGCTTCGCCAATGTAGGCCATTACAATTGTATATAAATGAATGTATGAAACACGTCCCTTTTGTATACCACTCATACCCACTACCACCTGTACCCACTACCACCTGTACCCACTACCACCCATACCCACTACCACCCATACCCACTACCACCCATACCCACTACCACCTGTACCCACTACCACCCATACCCACTACCACCTGTACCCACTACCACCCATACCCACTATCACCTGTACCCACTACCACCCATACCCACTACCACCCGTACCCACTACCACCCATACCCACTACCACCCATACCCACTACCACCTGTACCCACTACCACCCATACCCACTACCACCTGTACCCACTACCACCCATACCCACTATCACCTGTACCCACTACCACCCATACCCACTACCACCTGTACCCACTATAACCCATACCCACGATCACCCATACCCACTATCACTCATACCCACTAACCCTTGTTTAACCATACCTTCTCAATTGGTCCCATTACTTACTCTTAAATTCTAGTCCGACCCACCAAAGCTGCCGCACACTACCATTTTGTACAAATGTTTTTAATGCACCACACATCTACAATGTTTTTTGACACTTATACCTGACAGGGTCAAAATAACCTACCAGAGATGATTAAGAGAAGAAGAAAAAACCTAAATTAGGGTCTGACAGACTCGGGGCCTGTCAAGACAAAAAAAAATGTTTTGTTTAGGGAAGTTTTGAATTATTGTGGCAGGTAAATTTGCCCGAGGACCACACAATGGTTATAATGCATCATCCACCCTCAGAGTATATGGGGCAGGATTTTTTTTATCATTGAAAACATATCAGCTCTGTGATGAACACGACCACTGCGCTGCCAAGAAAGTAGAGAAAGCCCCTTTGACAGTAGCTTCTTTGCAGTAAAAAGCAAGTAAGTAATCTTTACACCGCCTTTCACAGACCAGAGTCACAAAACGGTTTACAAGTGTGGGCATTTGTCCACTCACTCCACACAGAGATGGGAGCGGGGTCGTCAGTTCAGGAGGCACATGCCAGACCTAACAAACATGTTTTTATTGGTAGGCAAAACCGGAGCACTCGGAAGAAATCTACGCAGACACGCGGAGAACATGCAAACTCCACTCAGAAAGGCCCTGTTCCGACTGCAATTCGAACTCAGGACCTTCTTGCTGAGAAGCGAGAGTGCTATCCATTCAGCCATCGTGCCTCCCACAATAACAAGGAAAGACTAATAGCTTTTAACCTGTGCCTTTCCTCAGGTCGAATCTCATATTGTCAGTCTCATATAAAGGTGAAGATGTGTGTGTGGATGTCAGTGCTATTTCTCTTTCACTCTCAACTCAAATAAGAGAAAACCCAAAGTCCTACGTCTTATAACTCAAGTGAATGTTGTTGCAGCTACTTATCTTTTTTTAGATTTATGTTATTACAATCTAATCTAGTTCATATTGTTTGCTAAACTGAGCCATATGTCCAAAACGCCTATGGGTTTTACCAACATGAGGAGAGGCTGCAGTTTGTATTTTGCCATTTGCTTGGAAAATAAACACACCTAAAATGCACATTTGTGTGACATTTTGTTTTCAACCACACTGCGTAAACCCAACCTGAAAACGCCTGAAGTGGCCTTTTGTTTTTTGGTTAAGGTTCAAGGCATGAGATTTGAGGGTGTAACTAAAAGGACAGTGGTGATGATCCAGGACACTCAACATTCAACATGTATTTACATTTTATGGATATTGGTTCCCGCCCCTTATGGACCAACGGCTCCGAGTGTTTTCTATGATTAGATTTTGTGTGCTTCAACTGTTGGATTCTTTGATCTGTGTTGATGAATTCATTGGTTTTGTTAAGTCCTCCCACAGTTGTGATTTAGGGCGATACAAAATAAATTGAACTAAACTGAATTGCGTGCTTGCAATTGACGTCACGTCTGCCTCATTACATATGCGTATCACGGAGTGGTGGTCAGCCAAGCTACTTGTTCACTAGAGCAGCGTGTTGAATATGCCTTTTGCATGTGTTGTTTTAGGTTGTTCTAAGCGATCGAATCGCGAAACCTTTAATGAATACTTTAGGGTTCCTCGTGAAGAGATGAATAAAGAGCCTCGCACTAAGGACTTTACGAAAAGACGCAGGAAAAGTGGCTCACTAACATTTCACTAGCAAATGCTTTTACATCGAAGGATTAATTATTTACCCAGCCATGCAGTCACAATGTGCAGTTATTACATCCCCATCTTTTTTTAAAATCAACTTTCAGGTATGAGTTGGCCTTTTAAATAAACACTGTGAATGTTTGACCTGAAAAGAACACTGCACAAAGACGCATAGTTTTGTTGAGAATGCCAAGTTCAAACCAATCGTTACTTACACGGCTCTGTACGATGCAGGATTTGCACCTTAACTCCGAGTTCCTTGACCCACCCACAGACAAAAAAGATTTAGGCATCCATGCTTTTGTTTAGCAGTGCAAAAGCTTGATTGTAACAGTAGATAGTTTGAGATATCCGGGAACTGAACTGGCAGGCCTTTTTCTAATTCACAAATCAAAATATTCTTGGATAATGCATTAGGATCTATACCGTTACACAATTTGACTTCTTCGATGTATCAGTCTCGAGAATTAGAATCTGAAGTGGAGAAAATGACAGTCTAGGATCGTGTAGATAACCAAAGCATGTAGTGGGAAAATACTTGTGCATTATGTTAGAATGATGAATTAGAACTTTAATCACAGTAGCTTCAAAGTGTCATGAAATATACAAAAAAGCACGAAAATACATTTTGAAGAAGAGTCACATTTTCTTCGCGTATCAGTGGCAATTTTTGTTGGCCTAAATACCACCTCATTATCCGGATGTTGATGCGTCAGGTGATTGCAAGCCAAGAATTAAGTTATGAACCAATCACCACTACAAATGTTTTAATGCACTGACCGACTTTTTATCCTTGGCGGTGGACAGAACAGACCCCGGAATCTGGGACTTCTTTCTCACAAACATCTTGAACGTTGCAGTCTCCAGGTTTTCCACTGCATACGACCTCCAGGCGGTCTGCAAGAACATTACAACACATACTGACTTCAACAATAGCACTGAGCTTTGTGCGCTGTTGTCCAGAAAGATCATTTGTGGATTAAAACATTGGTTTATATCTTTAAGCGTTAAAATCTATATAAAATACCTTGCACAAAAGAAACTATATTTTTCACTTTTTAACATGTTTGCAGATTTACTGTCTTTTTTGCACACCCTGAGTGTAAATGTAACTTGCACTGCTATAGTCACTTTAAATTTCATCGTACATAATCTATCTTGCACAAAAAAGATATTCTGAGTGATACTATCGAGGCCAAAGTGACATGAACATTTCTTCATTGCGAGATCATTAAAGTTCCTCTTATCTTATAATATATTTGGGACTTTTCAGTATCTCAATGTAGTTTATTTGTTTAGCATTATGTTTATAAAATCATCTTGATCCTAAGTTCAGCGCACACATAGACAGTAAATAATCAGAATGCTCGGAGCAAGTGCCAGTGCTATATTTCATTAATATCAACCAGTTTTAGCCTCTACTAAATATATAAATTAGTATTAAAGAGAATTACTTAGTTTTAAAAGTAGTGAAAACCTAATAACTAGTATTCTATTAATATGAATGGGTGTCGTCCAAATTGTAGTTTCAGAATTCTAGGAGCAACTCACTCAAACGATTGAATTGATCAGATATTTGAGTTTGTAGAAATGTAGGACGATTGTTTGTTTCTCCTGGATGTGTGAGAGTGTGTGGATACCTGGATGAGACAGGCGGCTGCGGGGATCTGTCGGTTGAAGTGTTTCTGTCTCTGTTTCTGCTGAACTTTGAGAGCGAAGCCGGAGCCCAGAATTCCCTACGGAGGACACACACACACACAGAGAGAGAGCTACGGTCACAAAAACCACATCATCAGAGCATTTCTGAGCATTTTGCCTGTGGCTAAGTCTATGGAATATGGCCTCTAAGTGAGTGTTGTTTCCTCGTCTCAGAAATGCACAAGTCTTGTAAAACCGAGTAAAAAAAGTAGAGCCAAAAAATCTATCCATGCAGTTGTGTTGAGTCCAGTTCAAAGAATTCATTTGGTTACATCCTTATGGTCATACCTGCATGTGAAAGATCCTGTCAGACCTCTGAAAATAAGCAGGGCAGGGCCTGGTTAGTACTGTGATGGGAGACACAGTGGGGTGTAAACTGCAAGACTGCAATAATAATGCATCGTTGCGTGGTAGTGGGAGGGGCCGATGGCACATTCTGGTTGCCTCGCTTCTGTCAGTGTGCCCCAGGGCAGTTGTAGCTTTATCACCACTGTGTTTGGAGTGAATGAATAATGACATGTGTGATGGTTGTGTAGATGTGGTGGTCATTTAGAGGTTGTGTGGTGGTTGTTTAGAGGTTGTGCGGTGGTTATGTGAAGGTTGTGTGGTGGTTTACTTTTGAATGCGTTCGCTCTGAAACAGTTGTTGTTTATGTGCTTTACAATTGTTATTTTTCTTGCTTTTTTTCTACCTGAAATGTAGCTTCAGTTGAGTGTTCATGGATTTGCACTGGTCCAGACCAGAGCAGAGAGGATTCATGGTCTGAACCAAGCGGATCAGGCAAATCCACTGGAGGAAGGCCAACTTCTTGAAAAATACTAACAAAGCACATAGCCTTTTACTTTAGACCAGAGCAGAGAAAATGGTCCGGACCAAGGGGCTACTCCACCTCTGCTGCTTTGACCCGTCCTGCTCAACCCAAAGGCTAGACCATCTCTGCTGCTGTGACCTGAAGTGCTGTTTCTCAATGTATTTGTTTTGTTTGTGTGGATGGATTTGTGTTTTTGCTTCTACTGGACAACTGAATTTCTACAATGGGGATCAATAAAATATCTATCTATCTCTCTGGTTGTGTGTTGGCTGTGCGGTGGTTGTGTGGTGGTTGTGTGGAGGTTGTATGGAGATAAACAAGTGCGCACACTAACTTGATCTGATGAGACGGGGCTTTGACATCGCCTCATCACAACTTACTGAATACATGTAAATGAGCGAATAAATAAACAAGAGCACTGTAATTACAGCTGTGTAAAGATGCTAATCATATCATGGATTCATTACTGGAGAATATAATGATTGCTAATGAGAGCAGTAATTACCTAAAATATGTTTGTGTTACTCAGAACAAACAGACAAAAGTTGCAGATCTGTTGTCTACCTCTCTAAATACAGGTAAACTGTCCTTTACAACAATCAAGGCGACCAAAGTGCTTTACAATAAAATCACATAATATTAAAACATTAATGCAATAAAAAAAAAAACATTATAAAAGCATTAAAGAAGTGCCACCGTGATAAATAAATGAGTTTTGAGCCTCGATTTAAAAAGGCCAAAATGAGTGTGGCTTGTTCCAGAGTCTGGGTCCAGGACTGAGATGGACCCAAGTGTTTGAGCCGTATAAATAAACGTTCTCTTATCTTAATTTTAATACATGTAATATATGTATTTATTTAAAGTGCCTCAACAATGGATTAGAACCAATTTAGACGTGGTAAATTTGACACAGAATTGCAGGGATAGTGAGTATGCCAGTTAACTCATTAACTGCCAGCCGTTTTTGATAAATTCACAGATTTTCAAGACCCACAGAATATTGTGTGCTATGACTGTAAATTTCTCCTGTGTGAGATTAATAAAGTACATCTTATCTTGTCTTACTGTGTGAAATATAAAACCAGATTTTGAAAGACTGGACTGTCTACTTTCATCAGCAAAAATAACCTTGTTTCTAGTTAGTTTTGTTCTCCTGTAATTGCCTGTCAAAAAGAGGGATGTTTTTAGAATAAATGTCTGTTTCAGGCCAACTGGTTATCTGAACCAGTAATCATGTGGCTAACCATGATTCAAAAATTCACTTTTCTTTGTAAAGTACGTCCCCTTTCAAGAGTAACTGGACACATATACTGTAGATGCTTGTTAGTGTTCTCACAGCAGGAAGAGCAAAGAAGGAGATGGCGAAGATGGCAAAGCAAGAGGCGATTGCTTTTCCGGCCCACGTCACGGGAATCACGTCTCCGTACCCTACGGTTGTCACGGTGATCTGTGGAGAAGAAGAGTATAACATACACAATTAGTGTCATAGATGGTAAAGCTCAACGTCCCTATACCTAAAAGCTGTGGTCACTTTCTACAAAACAGAACATGGAGTGACCAAATCATACTAAAACATGTATCAACAATTACGGATATTGGTCTCTGTCCCTTATGGTCCGATGGCTCTATGTGCTTTTTATCATTGTATGTCTTGTGTTTGAATTGCTTGATTCTCTGATCTGGGTTGGCAAATCGACAGCTTTGTGAAGTCGTCCGAGCTAAATGCTGTTGTGATTTAGGGTCATGCAGAAATAAATTGGCTTGAATTTAACTAAAAACACATTAGTGACATGTTAGTGCCATACCAACCGGCCCAGACTCTGAGGAGCACTGGGACGGGACTCATGTTAGTGTCCAGAGTCAGGTCTAAACATGGGGGGCTGCATTTCAGATTCATGCTGAAAATGTGACACAGGCCTCCTCTCTGACGTTTAAATCCAGGTTAAACACAGTTCTGTTTGGTCTTGCGTACAGCACACACACACACACACACATGGCCACATTAATAGCAGCAGCAAAAATAAATAACAATCTAAATTTAAACGTTTCTACATTACATTTGACAGATTTAAGTATCCAAATCATGTAAATAAAATACCCCTGTGAGTCTCTATTAGACACTTTGAGTGACAGCTCTTTTTCAGTCTTCTATCTTGACAGAGGCCTCAATACATGCATCCGAATTCTGTGCTGACAGACTTGTTTGAAGGTTTTATTTTTTGTTAGAGACTTTCTGTCTCTATATGTCTGCAGAACTCCCAGAGCAGTCAATATGACATGTTTGTGACTTTTTCTGTCTCTATATGTTGTTTATTTCTCTGTCATTATGTGTGATGAAATGATCTTTTACTTTTATGCAAGTTGTAAAGTCTTTTTTAATCAATAATTTTATTTGTTCTTATAAGCTAGATCTTATGTTCATGGCTGAAACATGGCTTGACCAAAATACAGAAAATGCAGTTTTAATAGAAGCATCACCACCAAATTTCAAATTTGAATCTGAAATACGGGAAAACAAAAAAGGAGGAGGCTTAGCTGCCATTTTCAGAGACCACTTTGTCTCCCATAGAATGTCTCTTGGGAAGTTTCCGTCTTTTGAATATGTGTCTTTTAAATATGTGTCTTTTAAATACAACAAAAACAATCTCCTCCAATACTTTTTGTTGTCCTATACAAGCCACCGCAGTCATGTCACAGTTTTATTGATAATTTTACAGAGTTGTTTTCAGTTGTATGCACAGATTTTGATAGTTTAGTTATTACAGGTGATTTTAATATTCATGTGGATAATGTTGATGACAGAAATGCTAAAGAGCTGAGTTCTCTTCTTGAATCTTTTGGTCTCACTCAGCATGTGAGTGGCCCCACCCACAGCAGAGGGCACACTCTAGACCTGTTAGTTACAAAGGGGGCGAACATTTATAATGTAAACGTGGTCGATGTTGCGCTTTCAGATCATTTTTGTATATTTTTTGACATGTGTTTCACTAACAAACCACCAGTGGACTCTGCAACTGTTCGAAGAAGACACATAAATGAAAATACGGGTGAACTATTTATGGGAATGATAAACTTTGAGAATGCATCGTATTCTACTGTAGATGAACTGTTTAACTCTGTCACCTCTAGTGTTTTGAAAGTTCTGGACACCATCGCTCCTGTGAAGGTTAAAATAGTGAAAAATAAGCAGAAGGCGCCGTGGGCTAAAGCAGACTCGGTCAGGGCACAAAAGAGAGAGTGCCGGAGGGCCGAGCGGAAGTGGCGCAAGTCCAACCTCCAGGTTGATTACAAGATCTTCAAAGATAAGTTGTGCGAGTTTAACCAGGTGCTACGTAGTACGAGAGAAAGGTATTTTTCTGAAATGATTGAAGGCTGCAGCAACAATCTGCGTGTTCTGTTCTCAACAGTTAATAGATTAACAAACCCCCCTGTTCAAATGCCATTAGAGCTAACTTCCAAACGTAAATGTAATAAGTTTGCACATTTTTTCAATGACAAGGTTCAAGGCATCAAAAACGCCACAGATAACAATCCAACAGCCTAAAAGGCTCTTTGAGCTAACTCACTTTGCACCTGTAAATGATCAAACTGTCCAAGAGATAATCTCCAGTTTGAGCTCCTCCACATGCAGCCTGGATGTACTACCCACTATATCTCTAACGTCTGTTCTGAGCAGTCTGTTACCTTCACTCACACAGATAGTAAACATGTCCCTTGATTCTGGAATATTCCCAAAGGCCCTGAAAACTGCAGTCATCAGGCCCCTGCTAAAAAAGAGCAGTCTGGATGCTACGGTACTTAACAACTATCGTCCCATCTCAAATCTGCCATTTATGGGGAAAGTCCTTGAAAAAGTTGTCTACCTACAGCTTACTAGATTTCTTATAATCAACAACTCATTTGATATGTTTCAGTCCGGCTTTAGACCCCACCACAGCACTGAGACTGCTCTCGTCAAGGTTACAAATGATATCCGGCTGAACACTGACGCAGGCAAAGTCTCAATCCTAATCCTGTTAGATCTAAGTGCTGCCTTTGACACTGTCGACCATGAGATCCTCTTACAGAGACTAGAGGACTGGGTTGGCGTCGCTGGCTCCGCCCTAAGTTGGTTTAGGTCTTACCTTGAAGACAGGAAGTACTTTGTGGAGATTGGAAACTGTGTCTCAGATCATATGGCCCTGACCTGTGGAGTCCCACAGGGGTCGATCCTGGGACCTCTTCTGTTCAATCTCTACATGCTGCCGTTAGGTCAGTTAATACGCAGAAACAAAGTTTCCTATCATAACTATGCAGACGACACTCAGATCTATGTCTCACTGACTGCAGGAGAACATGGACCAGTGGACTCACTCCTTCACTGTATCCAACAGATCAGTGAGTGGATGCAAAACAACTTCCTTCAGCTAAACACAGACAAAACTGAAATGATTGTCTTTGGTCCCCAGAAACAAAGAGAGAGCGTCATCTGTCATCTACAGTCTCTCTCCCTAAAACCTTCAAACAAGGTCAGAAATCTAGGGGTAATACTGGACTCAGACTTAAATTTTAATAGCCACATCAAATCAGTAACATCAGCAGCTTTTTACCATCTAAAAAACATTGCCAGGATCAAAAACATAGTGTCTAAAGCAGACCTGGAGATTCTTATCCATGCATTTGTCTCCAGTAGGTTAGACTACTGCAATGGCCTGCTCACAGGTCTGTCCAAACAGGCTGTAAAACAGCTGCAGTACATTCAAAATGCAGCAGCTCGAGTCCTGACTAGAACCAGGAAGTACGACCACATTAGTCCAGTTCTCAGGTCTCTGCACTGGCTTCCTGTGGCTCAGAGAATAGACTTTAAAACAGCTCTGCTTGTGTACAAGTCTCTCCATGGCCTCGCACCAAAATATATTAGTGACATGTTAGTCCCATATGAACCAGCCCGGACTCTGAGGAGCACAGGGACTGGACTCCTGTTAGTGCCCAGAGTCAGAACTAAACATGGGGAGGCTGCTTTTCAGATTCATGCTGCTAAAATCTGGAACAATCTTCCTGAAGATGTGAGACAGGCCTCCTCTCTGACGATGTTTAAAACCAGGTTAAAAACGGTGCTGTTTAGCTGTGCATACAACTGAGGGATTTTATATTTTTATCTTTCGTTTTAATGTTCTGTAATTATTTATGATTTTAATGCATCTTGTTCAGCACTTTGAGTTGCCTTGTGTATGAATTGTGCTATACAAATAAACTTGCCTTGCCTTGCCTTGCCTTCTAGCTTTACTTTCCAGAGCAGAGCAAGTGTTACCATAGCAACACACTGTTTACTTTTTAGCGATAGCATCGGTGGCCTTTCAACAAACTGCTTTTGCTGTATTCCAAGTTATATTCCCTTGTTTTAGCAGTTATTAATTGATTAAAAAGGTTAAAAAACAAACATCTGGGACAATTCTTGGGGTCCGAGTGTTAATTATATGAACTAATGGTAGAAATAATGGACTCAACAGACAGAATACCCTTGGGTGTCTGTAAAGTTGTTATTTCAAACATTAACTGCAATTCAATCTGGAGAGACTCGCCCCTTACAACACATTCTTCTTACTTCATCTTCTTCACTTCTTCCTCTTCTTCCCCTTCTTCCTCTTCTTCCCCTTCTTCCTCTTCTTCCTCTTCTTCTTCTCTTCCTCTTCTTCCCCTTCTTCCTCTTCTTCCCCTTCTTCTTCCCCTTCTTCTTCTCCTCCTCCTCTTCCTTCTTCTTCTTTCCTCTTCTTCCCTTTTCTTTCTTCTTCCTTCTTCTTCCCCTTCCTCTTCCTTCTTCATCACTAACCCTTCCAAACAGGCAAAACATGGGAATTATTATTGAGTGGCTGCATAGACTATGCAGCCACTATATGCTCTCCTACTGTTTATTGAGTGGCTGCATAGACTATGCAGCCACTATATGCTCTCCTACTGTTTATTCTTCTTCTTCTTCTTCTTCTTCTTCTTCTTCTTCTTCTTCTTCTTCTTCTTCTTCCACTTCCGCCAGATTTTGGCACTTTTCAACTCCTCAACGCTTTCACCAATTCAACAAATTATACATCGTTACGACCGGCTTCACCGTCTCATTATTGCTATTACTTTTTAAACTTCCACCTTTAGCACTTTTTCAAATATTAACAAAAGTTCAAGCACTTTTTCCCATTGACTTACATTGGACCAGTACAACAGATTACTCCCCATACAACACATTACCACACTAACAATTCATTACCACAGATACAATACATTACAGCATCTTACAAAACTTGCAGCACCTTACAACACATTAGCACTTTACAACAAATTCAACACCTTACAACACATTTAGCACTTTACAACACATTCAACACCTTACAACACATTTAGCACCTTACAACAAATTCAACACCTTACAACACATTCAGCACCTTACAACAAATTCAACACCTTACAACACATTTAGCACTTTATAACACATTCAACACCTTACAACACATTTAGAACTTTACAACAAATTCTACACCTTACAACACTTATAGCACCTTACAACACATTTAGCACCTTACAACAAATTCAACACCTTACAACATATTTAGCACCTTACAACAAATTCAACACCTTACAACACATTTAGCACTTTACAACAAATTCAACACCTTACAACACATTTAGCACTTTACAACAAATTCAACACCTTACAACACATTTAGCACTTTACAACACATTCAACACCTTACAACACATTTGGCACTTTACAAAACATTCAATACCTTACAACACATTTAGCACTTTACAACAAATTCAACACCTTACAACACATTTAGCACTTTACAACACATTTAGCACTTCAATACACATTCAGCACTTTACAACACATTTAGCACTTTACAACACCTTACAACACATTCAGCACTTTACAACACTTTCAGCCCCTTACAACACATTCTTCTTACTTCATCTTCTTCACTTCTTCCTCTTCTTCCCCTTCTTCCTCTTCTTCCCCTTCTTCCTCTTCTTCCTCTTCTTCTTTCTCTTCCTTCTCTTCCCCTTCTTCTTCCCCTTCTTCTTCTTCCTCCTCCTCTTCCTTCTTCTTCTTTCCTCTTCTTCCCTTTTCTTTCTTCTTCCTTCTTCTTCCCCTTCCTCTTCCTTCTTCATCACTAACCCTTCCAACATCTATGCAGCCACTCACAATGGCTTCAGCCATTGTACCATTTCTAGTTGAGTGGCTGCATAGACTATGCAGCCACTATATGCTCTCCTACTGTTTATTCTTCTTCCACTTCCGCCAGATTTTGGCACTTTTCAACTCTTCAACGCTTTCACCAAATTCAACAAATTATACATCGTTACGACCGGCTTCACCGTCTCATTATTGCTATTACTTTTCACACTTCCACCTTTAGCACTTTTTCAGATATTTACACAAGTTCAAGCACTTTTTCCCATAGACTTACATTGGACCAGTACAACAGATTACTCCCCATACAACACATTACCACACTAACAATTCATTACCACACATACAATACATTACAACATCTTACAACACTTACAGCACCTTACAACACTTACAGCACCTTACAACACTTACAGCACCTTACAACACTTACAGCACCTTACAACACTTACAGCACTTTACAACACTTACAGCACCTTACAACACATTTAGCACTTTACAACACATTCAACACCTTACAAAACATTTAGCACTTTACAACACATTTAGCACTTTACAACAAATTCAACACTTTACAAAAAATTCAACACCTTACAACACATTTAGCACTTTACAACACATTCAACACCTTACAACACATTTAGCACTTTACAACAAATTCAACACCTTACAACACATTTAGCACTTTACAACAAATTCAACACCTTACAACACATTTAGCACTTTAACACAAATTCAACACATTTAGCACTTTACAACAAATTCAACACATTTAAGACTTTAACACAAATTCAACACCTTACAACACATTCAGCACCTTACAACAAATTCAACACCTTACAACAGATTTAGCACTTTACAACACATTCAACACCTTACAACACATTCAGCACTTTAAAACACATTCAGCACTTTACAACACATTTAGCACTTTACAACACCTTACAACACATTCAGCACTTTACAACACTTTCAGCCCCTTACAACACATTCT